TTTTAATACAGTAATTCTTGTATTGTAATTTTCCAAAACATCGTTATCGATAAAGTCTTCTACCCTTTCTTCATTTTGCGGAACCTTGGATATATTTTATCTGATGTGATCGAAGATCAAAGTAATATATCGGTAGGCCCAACTTGAACCATCCTCTGAAGATTATTACTGAATTATTGGAATCTTTCGATGAACAGAGTAAACATTGTCAAATTCGGCATTTCACATTTTGTTGCAAACACGTGACCTGAAGCACCAAATTTTATCACAGAACACTAGAATTATACACTGTTGCCAAGTGTGAGGGCTCCTTTTAGAATAAATACTCGAAGGAGGTCTATAAAACAAGTTCAACGTCAAGTACAAAGAGTCTTCAAGGAATCCTCAGATGAGGAAGACTGAAGAGTTCTTGAGGAAACGACTATAAATACCCCAGGTAACACAAACTTCTCCGCGAGATCTCAGAGAGATCAACATCTGGATCATTATTTTGCGAACGCCTATCAAATCAAATCAAATAAATCAAATATTTTATTCATTCAGAAGACCCAAATGAGGTATAGAATTTGTCAAGGTCAAAGAACAGTATCTACATGTTTGTTCAAAATAATTATGTATACAATTTTAAAATTCCTCAAATTGTAAGTACCTACGTAAAAACAACACACAAATTAAAAATGTACAAAAAAATGCAGTCACATAAACAGTTCATTGATATCATAAAATAGATTTGCCATCAGAAAATGTTTAATCGTGAGGTAGTAAAGATCGCTATGTGCTGTAACTAAGCGATTTCCTCCTTGAAGTCCTATTTAGAAATCTTTCAAACCTCACATTTCAGTTATTGATTCCATTTCCACGACGAATTCCCAAAGTTATTACGAAATTAACCTGAATCAGAAATTCTTGTTGCGAGTTTATGAAGCTATCAAGAATGTAACGTAAACGAGATATTCTCACTGCGAGTTCGTACAGTTGACCCGAACATAATCTGAATCAGAAATTCTTATTGTGAGTTCTTCAAGTCATCCCGAGGGTATCACGAAAGAGAAATTCTTGGTGCGAGTTCCTAAAGATATCCTTTATTATAAGCGGAAGCAAAATATCAACATGCTACATGATTCTAGAATCTCAAGAAAAGCTTCCACCATCATTACAGATACAGGGTGATCAGAATTCTGAATATCGAACCACCCTGTATTTTTTTCCAATTCAATGTCAGTAGATAGTGAATCAAAAGTTAAGATAGGGACATGTGAGCCGTACTGACCGATAATAATCGTTTCGACACAATAAATTCTAGAATGGAATTTTTTTTAGAACACCCTATATCTCTGTGATCATTCCCGCTAGACCCCAAGTGTGATGCATTGATGGAATCGGCTCTCCAGGGAAAACCTAAAATTACGATAATATACAGGGTGTTCTATTCAAAAAACCCATCATCTGCCGGTATATGATCCTTTTCCATAATCAGATGTGAGAAGTTGAAATCGAAAAATATATTTTGGCATATTCAATCTGAGATATCGCGTGAAAGCTGTACCTATCGGCCTGATGAACCTCAACGCTCTGTAACTTCCTCTCAACCATATGTACTCATAAGGGTAGGTAAAAACTAATATGACTTCAATATTTCTAAAAGACCTATCCCTCAATTTCCCGGAAAAAAATTGATCAACCTGTTCAACATAGTAAATCTTCAAGATGATGATGATGTAACAATAAAATATATAAAGGAAAAAACAAACGCTAAGTCGGTTTTTTTGTGACTAGTTTCGGCTCAAGCAGCCATCTTCAGACACAGTATATAGTACCTGTAAAGATAAAGATATTGGTTTACAAGAATAAAATGACATATTGAGGAAAAACATACCTATAAAAGGACACGTGGAATCACATAATTGATTCAATTGAAAAATGAATTGCAAGGGTCTTTTGGCCAAAATTCAGTCAGGTGAAAAAATTGCTATTCTTTTGAACCGACTGAACAGCCAAAAGAACCTAATAAGGATTAGATCCAACATTGGCAGAAAATTGGAAAAGACAAAAGCCAAGGAGATGGCAACGAAATGTCAAGCAAAGCAACAGACGTTGACAGAATTACATGACAAATGACAGTGACATTTGATAAAAAAATCAAATGACATGCACAATATAAGATTACAATTTTGAGTTATGATAATGTTAAATACTGTTTGTATGATAATGTTGCAGTAAAATTCTGAAAAATGAATTAATTACAAGATTCATTATGTCTAAAAAAACCTAAAGGAGAGATAAGTGGTAAGGCCGAATGATATGTAATCCAAGAAAAGAGAAGAAGTGTCACGATGTACTAATTGTGATCTAACCCAGGAGAAGAAGAACTCAGGAAGGTGAACAAAATGGAACAGGGTCGGCTTAGGTAAAAATGTAAGATAAAAATGGTCATGAGAATTTAAGTGTGCTAAAAATGTGGTTTCGTTCAAAAATAGTTTGGTCATTGAGACAGTTAAAATTGGGATTGTTTATACATTTTTGGATTTCTAAAATTTCTAAGAGGTTTAGCCGTGGACCTTTATTACAAATGTGGATAATATCCATGTTGCAGTTAACATCGAAAGGATGACTGGAATCAATAATATGATTTGCAAAGGGAGATGTAGTGTTAGGATTATCTGAGTTGAGAAATTTGTGGATGAGTCTGTTATGTTCAGAGGCACGGGTTTCAAAACTTCTACCAGTTTGGCCTATATAAGAAGAGTTACAATCATTACAATTCAATATGTACACACGTGACTTTTTTTATTGAGAAATCTTGTCTTTAGAATTGAAAAGTAGATGTTTGAGATTGAAGGAAGTTTTATAGGATATGTTAATATTGAAATTTTTGAAAAGTTTTGAAATTTGAACAGAAAAATTACCAAAATAATGTAAGGATTTGAAAACAGGGGGATCAGTAACTCGACTCAATGTTACATTGAAAGTGAGTCTGAATCTAGTATAAAATTTGAAATAAATCTTCATGATATGTTCTAAGGGAAAATGATTGTTCATAGCAATTTGTTTGATAATGTTAATCTCTTTATTAAAAGGAAAAACAATTGAATGAGGCAAATTTATGTGGAGGTGGGTGGTTGGAATTAAAAGGAATCACTGTATCTGTGGATGTAGGTTTTCTGTAGATTTCAAAATCAGAAGTGTGAGTGTCTAAGTTTTTTGAGATGAGTAAGTCAAGAAAAGGTAAAGAACCGTTGACTTCTGATTCACAAGTGAAACTAATATTGGGATGAAGTGAGTTAATGTAATTCAAAAAATTGGAAACATCCATAGGAGAACCATCAAAAAGTAGCAGAATTTTGGCCAAAAGACCCTTATTGCAATTCATTTTTCAATTAAATCAATTATGTGATTCCACGTGTCCTTTAATAGGTATGTTTTTCCTCAATATGTCATTTTATTCTTGTAAACCAATATCTTTACAGGTACTATATACTGTGTCTGAAGATGGCTGCTTGAGCCGAAACTAGTCACAAAAAAAAAACTTTTTGTAATTAAACTTTGTGGTCGACCGACTTAGCGTTTGTGTTTTTTCCTTTGAAAAAATCTGGACCACTTTGAGAAGGATGGATGGTTTCCATGACTTGATAAAATATAGGGAAAAAACCGTGAATCAAACAGTTTGAGGAGAATGATTTTATGAACAGTGCAGAAACATTTCAGTCATAACTTTTTATTTCATAATTGTTTCTGAAGATAATCTGTTCTGATACCTCACCTTGCATAGTTGATCAATCATCATTTATTACATACCTATCTACTATGTTCTATGCTTCCATTTCATAAGCGCTAGAGCCAGGGCCTACCTTAGAGCCCGTGAGCTTCAACTTACGGAGTTCCCTGGCTGGAACAAAATGGTAAATTCTTCTTAGCTGGATTCAAAACAGCTGGCGCTAGTTACACTATACCGACAGCCGACTGATGGTAGCTTATGAATACCACAAAAATCCTTGGTAACCTAAATTATCACAAATATATCTCGAAGAATTCGCGAAATGATACTCAATATCATGAACAATGGGCGTGTACACCTTAGTATAGAACTTTTAACTCAAATCATGTTCATAATGAACCTTTTATACATAAATAATGATTGACTGGAATGTTTTATTTTCGGACATAAATGATAGTACCTTCTGAAAACGGACCCTCTTATGACGTAGAAACCTCATCTCGCCATAGTTAAAAGAAAATACCAAACACCCGACGGAGACTGAGGCAACTGATATATTAATTCTTTCAACCGTGATCTCGCGCTAATTCACTCTGTCATGTATCATTCACCTCTGTCTGGAATAATCTTGTTTCAGTATTAGGGTTTTGACATCACATCATCGCCTCCTTTTCAGAGGTCCGAAAAATCGGGGATTTCAATATTTTTTCATAAAACGTAGGGAGCTCACAGCAAGAAACGGTTTGCGGTGGTGAACTAGTTTGGGTGAGCTCTATCGAAAAATGAAATAAAAATGTTTCGTGATATAAGCCCATTCATGATGCGTACTCTCAGAGACTTCGACATCAGGAGTATTTTTCGTGAATTCCTTGGTTCACTCGTAGTTGCGAGTGAATTAATTCGGTTCTGCGAATACTTGGAGATCGCACCAGTGGCAATTGATGCGAATCTCTCAAAGTTCTCGGAACAAGGTTCTGTATGCGAATTTCCCAAAGAACTCGCCTGAAGGTATTGTATGTGAATTTCTTCGTGGGATATCGCTTAGACCTCGTTAAGAATATCCCTGCGGCGGACATTCGGAGCAAAACTAGTGCTCTCGGCAACCGCTCTAAGGAGTAATGGAAGGCGTCACAATTTCTTGTAAGGAGGTTGCTGAGATATCTTCAAGACCTCTTTTTGTTGGCTGGGACGGGCCTCCTCCGATATGCATCGATAATCGCGCAACAAAATGACTAAACTTCGTTAAATCCGCGCTGCTCATCTCAATCAACATTCAACATTTCAGCCTAAGATATGGAAGGCAGTGCCAGAGGAAGGGATGATTACGAGTACGAAAAAGTGTCCCCAGCGGAGGACGATGCCGCTAACGCCAGTGGTCGTCTGTCGCTTCCGACAGCATCTTTCGATGCCCGTAGAGATTCCGTTCGCATTTTCGAAACGATGGCGGATGCCAAAGCTGCCCCACCGGACAGGAAGTTCCTTTATTTAGCGGCTTGCATAGGTGAGTTGATTTCGCAATAATAATAATAATAATAATAGTTCATTGCTTCTTCAACAAGTTTACAGCAACGAGTGTATGAGAGAAAAAAATGAGGATAATATGTATGTATATGCTCTGGAAATGAATGAAAAAAAAAACGATTGAACATTAAAACCTACCAAGTACAAGGATAAATATCAATAGTTATAGAAGAAGAAAATAATACAATCATCGTTTATTCATTCAAAATAAATGATCTCAGTTCAAGGATATTCCAAATATATTCAGAAATTGTTCTAGCATCACTGATTGTTATTTTTTGTGAGGCAATGATTAATATTTCCATATTCCTTAGACATGGAGCTCCTTGTTTCATAACAGTGTAGATCGGACAGTCAAAAATAATATGGTGGAGAGTTTCATTTTCGTTTCTGTTGCAAACTGAACAAATTTGATCAGGGTCAATAGAGCAGGCAATCCCGATTAGGGTGAATTTAATTTTAAAGTGATGATGGGCAAGAGTGCTGGTGATTTGGATGAGTAATTTCAATAGTAAATGAGTGCTTGGTACCTAAGTTTCAAGTTTCAAGCAAATTGTAAATATACATAAAAGGGTAATGGGAAGATATTGAACGATCTGAGTCATGAAAGAATGTATAATATTCAGCATATAAAGTATTTCTATGTTTCAATAAATTATTATAATTCAGATCATTCCATAAAAGCAAGGAGTCAGAATCAACAAACAGATTTTTCATTTGCAAAAGCCAATTATATTTAGGGTCCGCGTAATTTATAATACGTCTTTGCTGTTCAAAACAAAGTTTTGGGTATCGATGTTTTTCCATCGACAGTATTTTGCAAATCCAGTTCACGGATATTTTAAGCACATTATAAGCAAGTTCCGCCCTTCCAGTTTCTAAGCGAACAATGGCATCGGGTGTATTGGTGGAAAACTAAAAGAATTCTCTTAAGGAAGGATATATTTGAACTCTTTCAAGCACTTCAAGATATCTGGAACCCAATCTGGCACGCAGTTATACATAACACTTAAAGTTAATGATTCGAATAATTTCAACCTTGGTGGCCAGGTATCAATTTTAACCTTAGACAAGATAGGCAAAATAGAACCAATAGCTTGTTTGCCTTTGGTGTTGGTCAAAGTGGACATTTCATGAAAGAGACCAGATGATGTGAAAGTTACTCCTAAATAATTATATTTATTGGTTACTTCTACTACATGGCTGGCAAAGTGGAATTTGAAGTTTGGTCTTTGGAACCCACCTCTAGAAAATTGCATTATTTTAGTTTTCTTGAGGTTGACATTTGAGTCGTTTTCTGTTGTGTATTTTTCGAGAATTCTGAGTTTCCTCACAATATCAATTTCAGAATGAGCCAAGATAACGAGATCATTAGCATACATCAATGTTAAATCTTCATTCTTTCATTTTGCAATAAGTAACACGCACAATGGGGAAGTTTCCTTTATTCAAATTCTCATTTCTTTCGGTACTACGATACATTATCCGCGGACATAATAGGAAATCTGTAATTCATTGAAATAAAAATTTTAAATCAAAATTTGTAAAAAGTACAATATTCAGGGTGTCCGGAAATAATGCGCAAAAAATCAAGGGGGTGATTCTGCATGAAATTTATTTCATATATACGTGGGTCCGAAAATGCATAATAGTTTTCAAGAGACAGTGTGTTGAACTTTCAAATAGAATTATTTCTTGAGAATATCTCAAATATCCTTCCACCGATTTGGCAATAGTTCAATTCGAATTGTGAAATCCAGTGGCGTCCCGGGGACACCTCACCGAATATAAATGTAAATAAAAGGTGCGCCACTAATTTTTTTGAATTCAATATCTTCACATCCTATTGACTAACTAAAAATACAACATATTTTGGTCTCCTGAATTGTTTTGAAATTTTGCCTTGTTTCCGTAAAAAAAAAATAAATACCAATTTATTGCATAAATTTGTGCAAGATATTCTTTCAAAAACATCAGGGATGAAAATAAATGTATGATCCATGTCCATAGACATAGAATGAGAATGGAGATTCATTTCCTTCAAGTATCTTATGATACATGTATGACACATTTTGTTTCATTGTTTTCCTGGACTGAGAATAAATAGTTCTCAATATACAGGGTGTAGAGTGTATCAAAAAATGTCTCCCAATGTAAATTAAAAATTCTGCATCAATCAACAGAAGACGACCCGGATGGAAGACTGCAGTTTCGTGAGTTCATGTCTGACCGCAATCCCGTTGTTTTTGCGATGAAAGTACGTTTTTCGTGAATGGAACGGTATATAGACAGAATGTGCGTTATTGGTCAGACGTAAAATCCGCAAGTTTTTCGAGAGGGTCATACTCAAACTCCAGAGAAGATCAACATATCCTACCTAGGTACGCACGATGTTATTCGAAAATTATGGGGATTTATTTTCGTGTGCTCCAAGCGATAAAAAAACTCCAGACATAATTATGTTCATGACTTTTTTTGAGCGATCTAACGAGTCACCCTCTGTAGTTCCGTACCGTAATCAGAGAACTCCCTGGATGAAATAATTTTTATTTCGATTTCAAGATATGTTTGGTGAAGTCTTTTATGAGTAACTGAAGATTGAACTTGTGGAAATGTCAGAATATTGCATATCAAGTATATTATGTTGATAGAACCGGAATCACAGTGTCACACTTGTCTGTAACATCTTTTACAGGGTGTCCCATAAGTCATGGATCATTTCCAATCAAACCAACCGTATATGTGATTATAAAATTTTGGATGGTTCAGAAGTAATTAATTTTTTCCATTTCCATCAAAAAATTAATTACATTCGAAACATGTCATTTTTCTTTTTCAAATTTCATCCACGTGGATGCAGATTTCCTCTGCACTAATTGTATGACATGTGTCACTTCTTATCCATTACCTGTGAAAAATTTATAGTTTCCCTTGAGTTTTTCAATTGAATGAAATACTCAAGTTGATTTTTAAATGCCGCTGGCACAAAGATAACCAATTATAAGATAAATTTATAAGAAAAAGTTGCCCATTCAATACAGATTTCGAAATGGTATGGGGCTATTCAAAACTTGAAATAACTATAGAGTCATTAATTATTTCGATACAGAGGTTCAATGCCTGTTATAGGTTCTGGATAATGACAGCGATTATACTCTTTAGTTATAGTAATACACATTACACATTGATTAATGACCGTAATTCGTTCACGGTGTAGCCTTCATGTCATGCTTCATTAAATTATCTAGTAACTGTTATTGGGTCGTCATAGCAAAATCAATTGAATAGCCTTTATAAGGCAGCTAGGCTGTCCCCTATTTAATTCATTTTTTCATGAAGGTTATTCAATTATCAATAACCGCTATTCGATCATTTTCTCAGTGTTATACTGAATTTATGCTAGTAAATATATGCAAATAATGGTGATATTTTTGTCAAAAGAGACGAGGCGGAAGAATCACAAAATAATAGAGAAATGAATTCAATTAACCCACAGACAGTAGATATTTTCCACTTTGTATAAACACTTCAATGAAGATATGATTATAGCCATGCATAATGATTCCTACTATTATATTTGGCACTGCTTATATAATCTCGAATTGGAATATTGTAAAAATTATGATGATCAAAATGATTTGGCAAATTATAAAATAATTATATATCGGAGGAAGTGCGCAGTGGATTAAAACATTTATTCACTATACAAAATTGACGAAAATAAAATTTATTATATTGTTCATGATGCGTATCTGGATGAATTGATTCATACTTACGTAACATAAAATCTCAAGATTACAGACTAATATTAAAATTTGTGAATGATTCAAACTTGCTTTTTCGATACTCTTTATTTTTTGAGTCAAACATCAAAATCGACAATGCCTGAAACCAATATCGTTCATAAAAATTCCGACAGTGTATGACTTTTTCACTCATCAGATAATCTGACCAATCACAAGCCAGAGACAACGTGTGCATATCGCGAAAACATGAACAATCTTTCAATTCTGATTGGTCTGACAGCGTTCATTTTTCAACGATGTTACCATGGATAGCATATCAAAGTCTAGATGTAACCATGGATAGCGAAGCATATTCTGTCAGTTTGGCATAAAATAATTATGGGTGTACTTGTCAGAATGGATCACTCATTTATAATAAATGCTATTATGTTTCGTGAACGTGAAAAAATCTAGCAAAATACCACTCTGTTCTGAATATCTCCTCATAGTTCTGTCTTTTATATTCAATTCAATTGTGTTGCCTGACGGACTCGTGGTGTAGCTCGGCAACACAATTTCGTGAACAATGAAGTGATAGAATTATCTGGAATATTCATACGATCGTGATATTACTCATGAAAAAACATCATGCTCCTTTCAACATACTTTTGAACCCAATAAGATATCCAACACACCTCAATTCATCAATAGCCTTGCTAACGTCGAATGAAAATGATGATTGATTGTTTATTATCATTATTATCATTATTAAATTTGAACAAGGGCAGATGCAAGGCCTATTATGCCCAAAAATATATAGAAAGATAATTAAATTGAATATTGAAGTGTACTGGATATTGTATGGAATGAATGGATATAAATGATGTTCATATTGCACGATACATATGGATACCTATAGTTCACTGAAACTGATGCGAGTCATAGCGGTTTTTGAAAGTATTAACACTTGGCGCTGTTACCACATCACCAGGTAGGGCGTTCCACCTCGAAAATATTCGATTAGGAAAGAATTGTTGTCTAGCAGTAGTACGGAAGTTTTCTCGTTTCAACTTCATGGAATGACCTCTCAATCTGTCGTCATTCTGAAGTTGAAATAATCCAGAAAGATCTACAGAGAAGGAATCGTGCAGGATTCTGTCATAATGGCGTCTCCTCTAATACGTCGCTCACTGAGGTTAGGTAGATTCAGGCGTGATAGACGTTGGTCGTAGGATAGGTTACTAAAACCTCTCAC